CTGGGGTATGTAAACTTTTGATCAGGGTCATTTGGGTAAGTTTCTATTCTCATTGTGATTTAAAAAGAGTAAACACAGTTGATTGATAATAAATGGCTTAAGCCAACCATTAACCATGAGTGAAAGAAAAGGTTCTGTATTATCATTCATATTCTCTGAAAAATGGCCAAGAAATCATAAATTCTGCCAGAGTATGTAAACTTATGAGCACAACTGTACAACAGTTGTTTAGTGAATGAAGTTATATCACTGAAAAAAGTGACTTACAACCATTTTTCACTGTTGCAGCATCCCCATAGTCACGTGACCAAGATTTGGATACTTGACAACTGGTTCGTATTTATGATGGATGCAGTGTCCCAGGGCCATGAGATCCCTTTTTGCGATCATCTGACAAGCAAAGTCAATGGGAAACCAGATTCACTTAACAACCATGTTATTAATTTAGTAACTGCAGTGATTCACTAAACAAATTGGAAAGAAAGGTCATAAAACGGGACAAAACTCACTTAACAAGTTTCTCACTTAACAACATAAGTTCTGGACTAAATTGTGGTTGTAGGTTGAGGACTATCTACACACAAATTAAATGCTATTGGTAAGCTTGATGCCATGTGATTGCCATTTGTGACCTCCTGCTGGCTTCCCCGCTAACTTTGCTCATTGGAGTCACAATGTGAAGGTCCCAAGTGGCAATCACATGACCATGGGATGTTGCAACATCGTCACTGTGGGCCAGTTGCCTGGATTATCATGTGACTGTAAGGTTTTCTGCAATCATCGTAAGTATAAGGCCCAGTTATAAATACCATATGAGTGCCATTATAACTTTGAAGAATGGTCATTAAGTGAGGACCATTTGAACTGTTTTTACAAATAGATCCATTCCCTACTCCAGAAAAAAATGGTATTTTTTTCAAAGTTATCCTATGATGTCCTAGATGCAAAAAGTAAATAAATGAAATTAGCCACAGTCTCAGCTTATCTCCCAAATCTAGATCTGGGCAAATCTATTCACTCAAAGTCAAGCAAAAGACATTTCAGAAAGCACTTATCATGTAATTTCCAAGAGGAGATAACCTCATTCTCTTTGTGACAGAAGACATTGATTATTGGTTCATCAATCACATTTACAGTGTTTTCTCACTGCCTGTGCTCCAAGTCAAGCATAACATGTCAAGACTTTTATTTTCCAACTGTTTATTTAGGAGAAATAAACAGAACTAATGTACATTTGCCATAAAACATTTTTTGCTGAAAATCAAAAGGACAAACATCTGCTTGTAATGATTGCTTCTATTACTTCTTGAACAGCAAATATACAATTGGAGAAAAGATAAAGGTAAATGTGTCCCCTTTCCAGTCATGTCCGACTCTAACAGGGGGCTGTATCCATCTCCATTTCTTAGCTGAGACGGCTAACATTATCCAAAGACATTTCTGTGGTCATGTGGCCAGCCAGCATGGCTATGTTCATGTAACACTGTTTCCTTCCCACCAAAGAGGCATACTGTATAACTGGAGTGCAGTTTATCAAAGCTTTTTGTCCCAGTTCTTTTGTTGCTAGAACTGAAAACATTCTGAAGGAAACAATGAAGGAAAAGTGGCCAAGAGTAGATAGCAATAGCAATAGTACTTAGACCTATATACTGCTTCACAGTGCTTTACAGCCCTCTCTAACCGGTTTACAGAATCAGCATATTGCCCCCCAAAATCTGGGTCCTCGTTTTACCAATCTTGGAAGGATGGAAGGCTGAATTAACCTTGACGCAGGTCAGGAACAAACTCCTGGAGCGAGCAGTGAGTTAACCTGCTATACTGCATTCTAACCTCTGTGCACCACGGCTCTTGCATGGATAAAATTTGTGGATAAAATTCAAATAGCTGGTCATGAATTAAAGAGTCTGCAGAACTGAAGTAGGTTCCTAGTCACTTCAAGGCCACCCTACTGTAAGCTTTTGGAAATATTGAAAAGGTTTATCACCGGCATCATTTGAGATTTTCTTTTTAACTTCCCAATAGAGCTTATAACCGGCTTTCTTACTTTTCTCCCAGCCAGGCCTAACTTCACTTTTTTAAAAAAAAAAGATTAGTTGATTCGTTAAGTGTTGCCACCTAATTGAGCAGCCCTGCACTGACCATGCTTAAATAATTTAAGAAAGGAACGGCAGAGAAATTCTACTTTGGGAAAGGGCAGAAGGAGAAATTTGTAGAAACAAAACCCGAAGAACACACCATGTAAGCAAAATTAATGACTGCTTTCTGTTGTTTAGTAACAATAACTAAGCGGTAGGAATGTAACAATAGATTATTGAAGAATGCTAGGATCCAGAGTGAAGAAACGGAATAATGAAATCTGATAAGTAGCAGGCCCAATATTGCCTTCCTCTCAAGACAGAATATTAACTGTAAGAAACAAAATATGGCCAATTCCTTAAAAGGCAAAGCTGTTATCGCTGCAGGAAGAGCAGAAAGCAGAAGCCCCAGCACAGCACGCCTGACAGCCGTGCCAACACCCACATTCCAGAAGAGGCTTTTTCTTCCTTTCAGAAATCTTGTTCAATACCATAATATGAAAAGACCAAAAAAATAAAAATAAAATTATGAGCTGCAGAGAACACAGCTGCCAAACAAACTGCTTCTTGTCAATATTTGTCAAACAAGTCAAGCTTTCACAAAAATACCCTTCCTCCCAAACTTCTGTTTAATCTACCGTGGAGTTACAGGGTGCACTTACAATGGAAGAAATCTCTCTGAAGCAAGTGTGTGTGTGTGTGTGTGTGTGTGTGTGTGTGTCTGGGGCGGGGAGACAATCCAGAAGTTTCTATAGTCTGCAACAGGCTTGATAAACTTGGTCAGAATGAAGAAGTCCAACTTGTGGGAAATTATGCACACACGGACACAATGAACAAATCTGAGCACAGAGCTTTCCATCTAACAGTATTCTGGGGATAGGAATATTCCAATAGGAAATCACCAGTTCTAGCTCAAATTTCTCTATATTTTATACACACAGAGGGAGAGAGTATATTTTATACTCTTTCTCAGAGAGAGAGAGAGAAAGAGAGAGAGAGAGAGAGAGAGAAATGTTTTTATTTACTAGGACACGTCCTGCAAAGCAGCAATAGCAGAAACAAACTCAATCCATTTAATATTTTTTTTTGAAGAATAGTAGTAGTTCTGAGGTCCAGCTACATCTCCTCTGAAGATTCTCAAGTTACAAGTAGAAATATAAGACAGTGATTTTGCTGAAGGGCATGCAATGACATTTGATTAGCGGCATAAACCATCAAATGCTGCAATGAGCACGGATCACAGAGTACCTGCCAAATATTTCCCATTTAATGTCATTTGGACAAAGGTTAATTTTTATTTAATTTATTTAATGTCTCTTAAAATAAATTATTTTCTATTATGCATAGCATAAATTTAACTAATAAAACATTTTTAAAAACCTAACATATCAACTCAAAAGAATGCAAATATCAAGATTAAAGGCACCATCAGGCATAAAAGTTAAAAGGCTTAGCAGAACTAAAACAACTATTAAATTAAATAAGTATTTAAAGTATTTAAAATGCAACATTGTCTGTGAGACCAGAATAGTTATTAGGTGGCACTGAATAATTAGAAACATGGGAGAACATTCCAGGAACAAAGAGCTTTTCAGAGATTCGAAACTCACTCACTCACTCCCAACAAATCTTGATTGCTACACTACTAGATTCAGGAATTAGGAAACAATTGATTCATGAAGAGTTTCCAAGGATGAATTTAAGGGATTGAAAGACATACAGACAGACATAATCTTAATCCCCAGGTTTAAAAAGGAGGAGTCACTGAGGATATTATTCTGCTAGTGTTTGCCAACTATAGGGGGCAGTGCTCATCTCTGTTTCAAAGCCATTGAGCCAGTGCTTTCCACAGTCATCTGCCCTGCATGATGTCACAGAGTGCTGTTACCTTCCCACCAAAGTGGTACCTATTTATCTACTTGCATTTGCCTGGTTTTGAACTACTAGGGTGGCAGAAACTAGGCTTATCTTTAATCTCCTGAATCCTCTTATGATTTGCATGCAACCAACAGTCACTCCCAAGTTACAATGAGTGACAAAGGATTGTAAATTAAATCAAATTGAATTTGAATGAAAATTACATTTTCACCGTAACCCCCAGCACGCCATTCTAAATGTGAGCTGTTACCTCCCAAAATTGTACTCCTGCTTTAAGAACATCCAAGCTATATACCTGGCTCTTCAAGGAAAGTTCAACTCTCCCTGGACCGATTCAGTCTTGTCATATGATATAAAGTACTGAGCTCTCCTTTAACTGGATTGAGCTTTAATTGAGCTGATCTAAGCACTCCACTGGAGTTGCCAAGCACTGATCTTCCATCACCAGAGTCTTACAAGATTTTAAGTCGAAGTAGAAATATGATATCACCTATTGATGATGGCCAAACTCCAAAATCTCAAAACTTCCCAGTCAGCACTTACGTGTAGTATTTAATAACAAAAAGTAGTGAAGTTCCCCAGAGAAGCATTTAGCAGTAAATCCCAATCGCACACCTTCATGTTCAGACAAGTTAAAGTGTCTCAGACTTAGAACATGGATGATAATAATCTTTATAGCAACTTGAAGCTACACTGAATTTCTTCTCATAGATACCTGATTAGCCACTTGCTCTGATCCAAAGTGGCTCTTAAAGTTCTCCCAAGCTAACAATCCACATGTAAATGTAACCTGTGGCATGGGAGTGGGGGAGGGTGAGAGATTATAATGGCAAGATGGTAAATATGGAATTCTAATACAAGACTTTTTTGTACTGTGATGTCACCTTCATTGTTTTTGGCAACCACAATACAGATTTTTTGACATCCCTGAAGATGATGCTGAATTAGGGGCCAAGTCTGGGGAATTCACATAACAATATCAAAACTTTAGTTTTAGATATAACTGTTTTCAGTAGATGGCAAAATGAAAGGTATTATATTACGTACCCGCAATCTATCCATGTTATAGTACCACGGCCTTTCACAGCTTGGGCTACATCAGATAATAACCTGAGCGAACTGTCGGCAGCTACCGCTGGGAGAAAGAAAGGAATATATTTACTTTAAAAATCAAAAGCATCTAGACACAATGTGGCAGAATTCTTCCATAAAACATTTTCTCTTTTAACTGAAATTTTTAGAGAGCACTAGAAACTAATAAATATTTCGAAATATAGTAGGAACTTCACTCATAACCTTTTGCTGCAGCTGGGATCTGAAACAGCATTTGAACATGCTCAGCAAGACTTTTTTTTCCTGCTTTTTGGAATAGAAGGCTGTTTCATTTCACAAATTATTCTTGAAGTCATCTCAAAAGTACCTTGCCACTTGATAGAAAGTTTCTGTGGATAAACTATAAACCCCAAGCATCTTTTAGTGCACAAAATTAATTGCATGGTTCTTCCTATCTTTCCTGCATATTTTGACATATCCAAGTTGAATATATCGTTTTTACACTGAAGAACCATAAAGGTTTATTTATTGTCCATACTTTTTCTCAGTATCTATTCATTTTGTTGCTTTGTCGGTAAAGATGTAAAAAATAGCTGCACTTTATCATACCAAAAGGTCCATGCCACGCAGCACTCTGTCCTACAATAGCTCAATGTGATATTTATGAGAGCATCACCAGTTAGATATGCTCCATCGTAACTAGCACTGAAACTTATTGTCTCTGATACTAGTGGCAATATCCATAGCAATTGTTAATCAATGATAGCTTTACACTCCCGGATAAGAAGACTTCCCCTCTCAGAAATATGCCCTCCTGGTTTCAGGTTTTACATCAGCTTACATTCACCTTGAGGGAAAGATAGCTATTGTCATCCATGAGTTGTTGAGGTCCTGCTCCAGATAAGCAGAAGTGAGACCTCTTGCTGAAGTTGGGCCTTTAGGAATACTTCCAATTGCTTCTGGTGTACTGCCCTCCTTGCTGTGTAGCATCACCCCTACTTGAACTGTTGCTGGGTTGATGGTGGCATGGTGGCATTGAATCTGGGATGTCTCAAAAATTCATTGCCTCCATGGCAATATAGACTTGTCTCAAATAATTGAGAGCCAACACATGCTGGAGATTGCATATTAGTTCTATTTTTTGTCTCAGGGCAGTTGGAGTATGGTTTGGTATTGGAGGACATAAACATCCTTCTGTTGCCACGGACAGATCACTCTTTGGCTGCCTTCCAGCTCACTCATGGTACCTGTCCTGACAAGGTGACAGGGTTACCCATTCTGGGTGACTGAAGGATCTTGCTGAGTTTCAGAAGAAGCTTTCATGTCTATTTGGGATGGGGTTGAACTTCCCTATTCATAACTGGTATATAACTTGGGGGTCCTCCTGAATTCACAGCTATTGCTCAAAAAGTGGGTGTGAATTGTGGCTATTGGGGTTTTGCACAGGTCCATGTTGTATTGCAGTTGCACCCCTTTCTCAATTAGGAAGCTCTTCAGACAGACACTCATGTCCTGGTTACCTCATGACAGAACTCTTGCAATGGACTATACATTAAGTTGCCCTGAAGACCATCTGGAACCTAAAATTGGTTCAAAATGCAGCAGTGTGGCCAGTAACAAACCTTTCTCATTATGTCCATGTATAGCTGCTGCTATGTAAGATGCAATGGTTTGCTTCTGAGTACAATTCAAGGTGATGGCCATTATGTTTAAGCCCTTCAGAGCACAGAACCTGGTTATCTGAAGGACTGCCTAACTCCAATTGTTTCTGCTGCCTAGTACATTCAGGCCAAATTGGTGTGCTCCGGGTCTTCTCAATTAAACACTGTCAACATTCCCTTTCCTGGGGTTCCAGAAAACCCTCAAGATCTAGCTCTTTTCCTAGACCTGGGGTTAATGAGTTTGTGGGGCTTCATGTTGTTTTTATTGCTATGGCTGCTTTTGGTCTGGGCTGTCTATTTTACTTTATCTCTTTAACTGTTTTAATTATGTATTTGGAATTTGTAAGCCATCCAGAGGCTAGGGGAATGGGCAACCGTAACAAATCATTATCATCATCACCACCATCATCATCATCACCACCACCACCATCATCATCATCATCAATTCATTCATTCATTCATTCATTCATTCATTCATTTCTATAATCCTTTTTACTGTAATCCAGTTATGACTACAAACTGTGGAAATATTTAAAATATGTGCTTTTTCACATATTTGTGAATATGCAAACATAACTCTGGGCTCATTGATTTCTTCTTTCATTTATTTGGTTACATACAGGTTTCAGCCTTGACAAGTGATCTTTGGAAAATAAGGCTGAGTTGCTTTGCACTGTCCCCAGTTCTGAAAGAGTAAATTGAACTAAAGCTAAGATCAGAAATCTCCATAATTTTGGGAGCAAGACAGTTTCTCTCCCCTAAACTGTCCTCGTGGAAAAAATGTGTCAACCAATACCTATTGTGGATGAGGGACCTGTATAAGAGAAAGCAGAACTAACTATGAAGCTACTTACCTAATGCTATACCTGGCTCTTCTCAGCTCCCCAGTTTACAACTCTTGAGCTGGATAGCTCTTGTGCTATTCTAACCTTATGCCTGACCTGTTGGACAGCTCCTCAGATTTAGCAGTTCTGTGGAAATCTGAGCCCCATGGCATGGTGATGAGAAACAGAAACTAAACCGACAAAACTTCAAATGTTAAACATTTCTATGGAAGAGAAATAGTCCTCTAAAAAGTTAAGTGTAATTACACGGTTTAAATTATCTTCTCCTATAGTGTTTCCTAAAGCTGTATGCTGTTGAATAATAACTACAGGCAAACAAAGAAACACATGATATAGTTCACAGGTACTAAAAATTCCTTATCTGAAATGAAAATTAAAATGTAGGGGGATGCAACACACTTTGCCTGACTCTGTCTATAATCCCTGCCAAGCCCACTTTATACACGTATGACAACAGAGATGCTTAGCTCTAGAATCACAGCCCTATGAAGGAGGGAAATTTAGTGTATTTCCAAAGAACCTGGGAGGAAACTTCAGGTGTTATTACATAGACTACTGCCATACAAATATGGCAGGTTACATGCAGGAAAAACTGAAACTACCTTTTCAAAAGGCACACTGGGTTGGCAAGGAGCCAGAAGAATGTTAATCACCATTTGCTGCAGATTTTCCTCAGACAATGTACCTTCAAATTTCAGTGTTAGATAGCTTGGTTTTACACCACATAAAGAAAAAAAAGCAATGATCTCAGGTAAGGCAATTTCCCTTACACAAACTGACAGGTTCACTGAAGTATACTTTGTGTAAAATAATTATTTGGTTTTTTTATTTATTTTTGTCCTCATTGGGAATAATATACTGGCTTTATCAACATTCTTATTAAAGTATCACTTATGACTCTTTTATCTTTTAAACCACCTGAATACATTAGTTTATTTTTAAGTCATTTTTATGACTTTCTAGCTCATAGCATCCAGGAATTTAAAATTTTATTCACAAATGAATAGATAAAAAATAAAGTTATCTATCCACACTATGTGGAAAACTAGAAGTTGTGCATTATTCTGTTCCAACCAATGTTCCAAGAAAACTTGATGACATAGTGAATTTAATGTCCGCATAAGCATGCCTACAACTGTGTTATCATTTACTCTTTCTAAAAGAGTTTAATGTGATGTATTTAAAAAGCAACCTCCAAAAAGAAGTATACATCAAAGATGCATAGAGCTTTTTCAGGTATGTTCAGAATAAAAGGAAAAGAAAAAAAAATCTTATCCTATTTCCTTGCAATTTCCAGCCTTTTTGCCTACTACCGAAGGACCATAAAAAAGAGACACTATCCAGGATGACTTATGTAGATTTTTCAGAATATGTTTAAATGTGTTTTCTAGATATTGTAGATGAGACTGGTTTTCTGTTGCCTTTTTTCCCTCCTGCATTTATCTCCTAATTGATTATTTCATAGAACTAATGTAATTGTTTATAGTTCTTTGTGGGAGCCTGTGTGGACCAGAAGCCATTTCTAAATTATGCCTTTCCCTAATAAATATTTCAATATTTTCTGTTCGTCTCACTATCTCAGCCTTTCTATTTGCGCAAACAATTTGGTGTAATTTAGTACATTGTTTGACAAGGTTTTGCTTAAACATGCAAATGAAACAGAAAACGTATTTGTTTTACATCCAAAACAAGCAGGTTATGATGTAGCACTTCAGCTGAGCCATTCTGAACAGGTTACAGGTCAGCCTAATCTAAACGGAATACCTGAACAACTTCATTGTTGCATGTTTTAGCCAAAATAAACTCCAACAAGACTCCTGCGCAGCAAATAATGCAAGTTTGTCCCCTCTCTCTTCCTCCTTACTAATCACCCAACAACCTTTACCAAAGGCTTCCTTCTTCTTGGCCAATGCATCTGGGTTACAGCATCGCATTACCCAACCAGTCCATTTACCCCTTTCCCCAATATTCCTAGCATCTTCTTTCCCTTAGCTGCTGACACTGCATTTCAAGCATGGCATCTCAATCAGCCAACTCATCCCACTGAACTTCCTAAAAAAAAATTTCTCCTGTACTTTATCTTAGTCATTGCTGCCGACAACAGCTTTCCTATTCCACACTGGCTCCCACTGTGGAAAACTTGAGCCAGGAAAATGTGATATGGTCTATATCCCAACTAAATCCCCAGTGTCTAGGATGAGATCCATATCTGCTGTTGCCCCCACACAATGGGATATCCTTTCCCAAAAGGTGAGGCAGGCCCCCACTCTCATGGCCTTCTGAAATGTGGTTAAAACATGGTTTTGTAGCCTTGCCTGGAAGGCACAAAGGATTATGCCATTGTGGGGTTGGTTGGTGCCATGAGAGCCCTCCCTCAGTCTTTATTATCCAATTTTATCAAGGTCAAAATGCCTTCTTAGAATTTTTGGGTTTTTTTGAAATTTTTATAATTTTATACTTTTTTAAAATTTTAATCCTAAATTAACTTCAATAACTTTCCTTTTATATATTGAATTATATGATATTGCGCTGTATACCACCCAGAATCCCTTTGGAGGGAAATGGGCGGCCTAGAA